TTTTTCTGCCAAACTTTCAGATAGACTGTACGAAAGCCAATTTTAAAAATCTATTGTTCCATAATATTTGTTATCAATTTCAGATGTTGTTTTTGGAGTGTATGATGTCAGAGATGACCATTCCCGGATAATATCATAATAAAAGGGTGGGATTTGATTTTCAAATTCTGATTCATCATAGTTGCAAAAAAAACACATGGTCCCCAAACTTTTTCAATAGTCCCTTCAATATATCCTTCCATTCGGCTTGGCTATCAGAAACAAACCGTTTCACCCACATAATCTGTTGTTTTAAAAAAGGAGTCCACCTCAATCATATTTAATCCACCCTTTTCAATATCTGAAATAAGGATGTTTCTTTTAATTTTATCCTTTCCATTCCAAATAAAATTGTAAATAATACTATTGATTTTTTTTTTATAATTGATTTTGGCACAGAAATCATTGATACTAAATATATGAATTGGGAAAGACCAAAGGTTTTAAGGATCTGTATTTTACCAATTATTGAGGGTTTTCTTCTAGACCATAATGAGCATACTGACTTCAGACTGTTGATTTTCTTTGAACATTTTTTTTTCAATAGACATGTCAGATGCATATGTAAAAAAACTCCCAAAATTGTTATTCCATTTGACTATTTAATGTTTATTTTCTCTTTTGGTCTGTGACCATACCCCAACAAAAGTGCCTCAGTTTTATCCTTATTTAGATTTAATCCTGAACATTTTCCAAATTTGTTAACTGTATTGAAGAGCGGTATCATTGAGGTGGGCTTAATTGCACAGGTTATGTCGTCTGCATACATGCTACTGTAAAATGTTTTTACCCAATTTATAAAGGAATTAACAAAATTAAATACCTCCAATGTTTTTATCAGAAATTTGTGATCAACAGAATCAAAAGCTTTTTTGAAGTCCAGTGATATTAACACGCCATGTGTATTTTGATGTCTAGTTAGCCACATTACATCAAAAACTGTGCGAATTGCATCACCTATAAATCTGTCCTTCACAAACGCACATTGGTCTGGGTGAATGATAGTTGGCAGGATGGTATAAATGCGTTTTGCAATTGCTTTAGAGGCTATCTTGACATCGGTATTAATGAGGGAGATTGGTCTATAGTTTTCAAGGAATGTTTTATCTTTGCCTTTTTTAGTAATCAGGATTATGACCCCTTGTCTTTGCGACTGTTAACTGTCCCTTTCTAAGAGAGTAATTTAAGCTATTGAGTAAAATGTGAACTAATATGTTCCAAAATGTTAGATAAAATTCAGCTGACAAGCCATCATTACCAGGTGTTTTATCTTTTGGTAATAAGGTTAAGGCTCTAAAAAATTCATTCAAAGTTTTTTTTAACATCGGCATTGCGTTAGTAAGATGGTGTTATTAAAATAGAATATAGACTTAGAAAATAAAACGATTTCTCAGACGAAGTCTTGACTGATAATAATGCTGACAATGGACGTTAGATAAATATGCATTGTTTGCAACAGGAAGCTTGTCACCCGTTCTATCAGAATCATCAACAACAGAGTATTACCGGTAGTACAATGTATACATATACATGTACATGTTAGAAACATTATGCAAATATTAACGAAACTGTAGTAGTGTTAGCGCTTGAGCGCTGGTCTTTCCGAAATTTCGAAAAGCTGGGATGATGAATCAAGGTACAAATTTTCAATTATTGAAAAATCAAGATAAAAAAAAATCCCCTCCCGCTACATTAAGATCAATATGGACCACCGAAATTTGGCGTTCATTTAAAAAAAAATAAACCATAATTTTCAGTAATACTGACTTCGAAAATTATGATACAAAAATAATTCCATTCATACCACAAACCAACGGCGTTTTTGTTTACTTTTCACGAACTGTTACAAAGTATTTCATTTCTGGTTAAAATACCAGCTAATCGATCGTAGACCACAAGTTTGGAGTCCGTTTATGATCTAAACGAAGGCAGACGATTGCAAACAACTGCTGTCATGGCAAAACATTGCACATCGTGAATGATTTTTGTTTTCACTGCATGCAAATTATTTTCCTTGATGCACTCAACAAAGTCAAAGCTGACGTACAACATTTGTTGCAGAACGCGTGAAAAGTACTTCGCGTTCCACTCGCTTTGAAGCTGCCGCCTATGCTAATGAGCATAGTCGTCAGGACGAAGCCTTACAACTCCAAGATGGCGATAACGTTACACCGTAAATAGGCAGTCAAAACCAACGTGCATGTTACACTATTTAATTTTTCTAGCCAGCGGTACGTGTGATGTGTGTAATCACCGTAAACCATGTGTTATTTGTTTGGTCCCACAATTTGTCTTCCACACTTTTTTTTTTTACACACTTTTTTTTTTACCGTACCATTTTTACCAACCAATAGGCATCGTGCTCTTCGCAGAGTGACACTGCGATCCTGTCGCAGAGTGCAATAATCGCCATTCGGCGAGTCGCACAATCGTGTCGCAGAGTTAGTTAATTTCAATCCAATGTTGTTTTTTAAAAAGAGGTTAGCCTTGAAACTGGATGCCAATGACATGGGACATTTCTAATTATTTGCTACATTTTCAGTGTGAATAGTAAATTTACCTGAAAACATTTAGGGGTGATCTCATATTCAAACACCTGGGTCAAACCTGAGTTAACCCGGCCTGCCCTATTCAGACCTACTAGACCTACAATATGCAAATTAGTAGTAGGTTTGAACCTAACCTCCGGATTAACTGCCCATTAACGGCCCCACTGAAAACAAACAACAGAGAACAAAGAAGACAGACCTAGGGAAACCTAGGTTTTTCTTACAATACTGTTTCAGCCTGGTTTCAGTAGGAAAAAAAATAAGATGTATATGGAGCTCCATGTTCATACTGAGTGTTATATTTTGAAGTGTTAAGGTAGCGAGAAGGGTTTTGTGACGTTTTTAAATAAAACATTCTCTGTCTGTTGTCTTGTTCAGAACAGTAATTTAGCTTATATATATCAAAAGACTAAGTATAGAG